TTTCTGGATTTTCTCGTTCCCAAATTAGCAATTTTCCCGCCAAGACTTTCACGTGCCCGCACGTATGTCGCGGGTAGTTTTGGGCAGCTGAGTCTGCAGTCTTTTGATCGCACATGAGTATTGAACATTCCCCTAAAGTTTCACCTTTTTAGCTTTTTCGTCCCCAAGTTAGCAATTTTCTCGCCAAAAAATTCACGTGATCGTAAGCGTGGCCCAGGCGTGCGTGACGGTTGATACTGCGGTTCTGGGGTAGCACTTGGCCGGGGAACACAATGGCGAAATTTCAGCTTCAAGGCTAGCGTGGTTGGCGAGTTGAAATACCCCGACCGACACACACACACACACACACACACACACACACACATGTAAACACACCCACCACACACTGGCAGGATCGTTGCAAAATGCATTTTTGCTGCCTGTTCCAGCGCTCTAGCGCTGCACGGCAAAAACGCATAAAAACTGTAGTATATGTTGACCCAAATATAAAGCAGTGCATGGCATCTCAAAATTTCGAGCAGACGGTCTTTTTGTCTCCGGGTTGTAAGATTAGCGCCAATTTAGAATTTAGACGACAAATCAAGAAGTAAAAAGAGATGTGAATTTTTTTTAGGTCTTTAGCCTCATGTACAATCGGACGCTTTAGCCTCGATTTTTCAAGCTTTTTTCTGAAGTTGATTTATAAGATTTCCGGACTTTATGTATTGTCGAAATCCTTTAAATTGGGCCCATAGTTATGGAACATGAACTGCTTCTCGAATTTACAAAAAGCGCTGAAGAAATAATACCTGAGATCGGCCTCATCGAACGTTTTGAAATATCTGTGATTATTCTTGGTGAATGTCACCACTCGACGAAGCTTCGGTTTCATTTCCCTGCTACGGACCATTCTAAATAAATAAATAAATATTGCAAACAAAGTAAGTAACCAGGAAAATTTCGTTTCGCTAAGGGAACGTCGCTTTCCTTCTCGAGATGTGTTATTCCAGTAGACGCTGAAATAGAAGTTTTTTTTAAACAGCATTTTTGTGGTTATCGTGTTTCGAGGATGCTAATCATTTTTTGGAATTTTTTGAGAGACGGGTCAGGCCAACAGAGCAGCTTAAGTTTTCTTCGAGCAATGCATTACTTCTGCAAAATTATCATGGATTTAATTGGCGTTTCGAGCAATGAAGGAAAGGGGAGGAAAATATTTGTGCAGTTTCAAGCCAATAAAGGTCAACGTTCTGTCAAAACTCCGATAACATAATGTGCACAAGCGCACTTTAATCAAATGTAATACTATTGACTTTAAAAGCAGGATTTTGACTCACAAATTCCAAAAGGGAAAGATATCGCCTTTTACGTGTTATGCATAATGGCTCACACTCCTGTCTTTTCTAATAAAGAAATGCTACCTACTGATGATATTCGAAAACGAATGGATCAACTTTAAAAGCATTCAACAAAATGCCTTCCTACGCTGCGTCCGTAACCGCAAAAAATTCATAAAAACAAGGAAATCGAAATTAACAAGCTAATAGAAAGTGGAAGTTCTAGCTTAGAAAGTAAGTGGGCTGCAAGAAAGAAAGGAAGATCAATTTACTCTCCACTTTCTCATTCAGTTGTGAAGATTTTCTAATAAAATTCACTGCGCCTCATATAAGACTACGACAAAATTTTATTATTGTTTTGAGTATGATTATTATTGTTTGTTATTGTTGCCATTTTATCACTGTTACTATTATTATAATTATCACTGTCGTTATCTTTACTGTTGCCATTATTATTATTATTATTATTATTATTATTATTATTATTATTATTATTATTATTATTATTA